AGGCAGACTGATTCGAAAAGAACACCTCAAAACCAGATCGCGCCGGTCTCTGAAGTTACTCCAACAAGTCGATTTACACTGGCATTTCCAGCTCAAGAAGATACTTCATATTTTAAACAGTATTAGAGTGCATTGAAGCTGATAATCTGAGTTGTCTTTGAGCATTATATAGGACTATTTTGTTATTATGTCTTTTCAAAAAGTTGGGCAGTCATAGATTCTTTTTACATATCCCATGTAGTTATTTTTTATGACTGTCTTCTGATAAAAAGATGACTCAGTAAAGACCAGGAAAAAAACTGTTTCTTATGTTTAGGCGATATCATTTGAAGTTACATTTCTTAACTGTTAGGGTGAGCTGGTCTCAGTCTGCAACAAAATTTCAAAACTATTATCTTCTTTTTCTGCATAAAATACTGATATACTTACCTTGAACTATTATCAGGACACGGGTTTTTAATCAAATGCTAATCAACATGGCAATAATCATAAGAAAAGTAATGGAGTAAATACGTTGTTATTTAGCACAGAAAAAATTAATACAATTAGTATAATAAGTAATAACAAGCGGAAAAATGTATTTGAAAACAGTGCAATCCAGTGCAATGTAAACAATTTGAAAGGGCGGTGTACAGTACCGCCTTCTGTAGCTTTGATATTATTTCGTTCTTACATGGAAGTGATCGACTCGTACCAGGGATTTGAGAATCGGTCACCAACCCAAATATAACCGCGAAAGTTAAATTCGTCGAACTGGGAGTAAATATAAGTTTCTTTCTAAATAACTGTTTCATAGTTAATGGTCTCGTTTCCAGATCTCGTCGACAAAGTCTCTTCGTTAAGAGATCTGGGTACGTGATTAGGATTGCGGCAAAGTTTTATTAGAGAGCTCAACATAGCCGTGTATACAGCTATTTCGAGAAAGGTTGTCGGAAAAATGTGCACGCGACAATCCCGAAAGTTAATATGGGATATGATCCATACACTGTTTCGGACGACTGTACCTGTCGAACCTACTTTTGTTGCTTTCTTTGAGACCAATCCTTTTACATTTCTTTAAAGAAAAGTGAACTTAAAACCACCCACAATGCCTTTCGGGATTGTCGCGTGCACTTTTTCCGACAACCTTTCTCGAAATAGATCATTATCTGATTGTCTTAAAATTGTGTAATTTCCAAGTACATGATCGTAGCTAAGTGTTGCACTGATTTTGTTGTACATAATGTTAAACAAAAAATTTTTACAATAAATACGTGAACATAAGTTTATCTGCCTCTTGTGAGTGATTTTGTTGTAAGACTTAAGCTTTATTAAGTTCATTCCTCTTTCGTCTTCCCTCTACATACTGTAAAAACATTACGCATGGTTTATTAGATTCTCAGGCCAAATTCAATTCGCAAGAAGGACGATGGGTTATGACTTCAGTACACCGTTTGTAAATTATGAATAATCTTGATGAGAATTCCAAAACACGGACCAATCGTTGGGTCCTATACTACTCACACACTTTAAAAATTTTAAAAACGCCACCACCCCTAAAAATACTAACTTTCTTAACATTTCTATGCTTGAACAAGTGAGATCTCTCGGTTCCCCTTCATTATATCCGAAACAGGCAAAAGTTCCCCTTTCAGGCGTAGACTCCCAAGACAGGGAGTATCCCTCGTCGACCGCTACGAAAACGTCACTTCAAAACCGCGTTTGCGTTGCCTCAAACTTTATCGTGCTTATTTCATCTCGTTCATTTCGTCAAATCTTGGATAATTTTTCGGGAGTTGAATTCTAAAGAACTCCATTAAGAATGAGGAAAAGAAACAGAGGGTCGTTGTCTTGTGTTTACTTCTTCCACAAAACGCGAAATTTGGCAGTTCCACGTAGTAGTCGTGCAACGACGGCAACGAAATGTACCAAAAAAACGGAGGGTCCCTTTAAGCTCCCTATTAGAGACTTTTAGCATGGACGACGGCGACAGCAGCGAAAACGCCGTTTATAAAAAAAATGGTGTTTTTCAAACTTTGCGGCGTTTATGATTTCTTGGAGACCGCGCTCAAGTTTAAAAAGAGAAAGAAAATTTCACCGTCGCTTGTTTATGTCCTCCATAACAAAATGAAATTAGGCATTTCTACGTCGTAGTCGTGCAGTGACGTCAAATAAATGTACAAAAAACGTGATGCACGTGCAAACGTGTTGTTTTCCTCAATAAACCTATTGCTATTGAGATTTCCGTTGCCGTCGCCATCGTCGTTGCGAAAACTCCCTATTAAGGGTTTATATCCCCTCAATCGACATCCTTAAAGTTTCACGAGAATAAAACACGTCGATATAGACTTTTAAGGCCTAGTTTAAATGTCGCATTTCACATGCTCCAAATCTAATGCAAATAAGCAAGAACAAAAGATTTTCCGTATTAGCATTAAATTGGGCACTTGCGAAATGCGACGTTCGAACCGGGACTGAATAGTTCACCGGAAGAAGAAAGTGTACAAAAACACCTTTATTTAAAACTTTGGTTATTTCCATATTTTCCAACCACTGCATTAATTTCAAATTCTGTGCATACATTGTTTTTGCTTAACTGATTAACTCCCTCCAAAAGTTCCACTGTCTCTAAAGACACTGCCCTAGCAGCACGCGATTCCTACACTGTGAAAGTAAAGATGAAACTCAGTAGCGCAGGCTTCCTACACATTGAATGTACAGACGGAATTCAGCGGCACAGGCTTCCTACCTGGAAATGTCCCCACTGGTTATTCTATTTATGCTAACTCTATGCTAGCTATTGGACAGTCTGTAAACTGTGCCTTCCACTGATAAGGGAAACAACTGACCTGGCTGCAAACGGGACAGTCGCACCTTGAAAAACAAAAACAAACAAACAAGAAGTTATATGCAACTACACCTTACGAGGGATTAATAACGGATGAAATGGCAATAATCAAGCCATTTAAAAAATCTCAAGTGCAACAGTGGTATCTTTTATTCCTAAATTTGTAATATTGTCCAAAGCAAACAGTACCAAACGAAAAAGGTTTTTATTTCAATAGTCATGTAACACTAGACTTCGTCTTTAATAGATTGGAAAATTTTAAAGAACAACATAACATGCTAGAAAGCTCTTCCTAGCGACCCGTTTCTCGAAAGTCCCGATACTTAAGAGGCCGGCACTAAAAGCTGTTGTTGTTTACATTCAAAATAGAGATTTCAAAAGATTAGCAGAGACCCGCGCTTCTAATTCATAAGATTTTGATTTCAACATTTGATTTCGGGGCCGAAAAGTTACCGGGACTTCCGAGAAACGGGCTCTGGGAACGAGCAAGCTATAGAAAACCATAGCAACTCTACCAACATATAAATTAATTTGTTTGCGTACTTTTGGTTTTTTGTCCTGTTCTGCCACGTAACCAATACACATGCTGTCTGTTGTATGACCCCAGACGAGATCAACAGTGCAGTCTGTAGAGATACAAATGGGTTGTCAAACCGGTTAGTTTAGCCAATAAACTCTGGCCAATGACAAAATCAGGACGAAATAAACCAATCAGAATTCGCACTAAAACGCGTAGCCGCTGGCAAGCGCGGGAAAAATGAGAACACCCACGTCATGATTGGTTGAAAAAAGGACGCGAGGGCTTTTGTAGCCAGTCATATTTGTGAAAATATGTAGCAAGCGTCACATTACTTTGACCTTTCAAATGAAAACTTGCCAACAACAAGTAAGCGTGACACTATATCATTGATCTAGAACGGCATCTGTAGATAACTGCACAGAAGAGCACGCATGGAAAGAAAAAGCTCCTCAAGGATATGAACTATCGCTCTTTTCCATCATCTTCCGCCTCGACATCTTGCTCGCAGGCTAGGTAAGATTCTTTTGGGATAGGCTACTTTGCAAATGAATCGACGCCTACACTGACACAGGTCGATAAATAACTTTCTTTTGTCACAGAACTTTCTTTAGCAATCTTTCATCGTTTAAGAGTCAAGCTTCTAAGAGTTTAGTGTAAAATTTGTGCGACAACGCTAGCGTTAGCCTCCCACGCAGGCGTTTTTAGGGGAGCTCGTATTTCTTCCTCCCCACGAAATACGAGCTCCCCTAAAAACGCCTCCGTGGGAGGCAACGCTAGCGTAGGAGGAAGCGTAGGAGCACTGTCACTTACCTTCACTACCCTCCCCTCCCTCTACTCGTAGCAACAACACTCCTCCTAACTTTTTCGTCACGGATGAAAGAAGACTTGAACCTACATAACGGACAAAAACAGCAATCTGCGTTGACTATGAGTTCAGGGAAAGTACGGGAAAAGAAATGGAGAACGCTTGTGTTGAAAGAAAAATTCCTTTATTTAAAGAAACTATATAAAAAACTGTGTGATTTGTGATTCCAAATAGTATTCGCTTTTGTTACTTAACATTGTGGTTTAGCCTGTTCCAAGCGTCTAGATAGTGGGGACTGCTGAGAAATGGAGGATGGAGGGAAAAAAAAGCTCACTTCTCTTTGCAATGTACCGGTTATTTGAACGCCTGCAACAGGCTTAGGCTTGTTCAGAAGAAGTCTTCAAGTGTTAGTTTAACTGGAAAAACATACCTAAAAACTTGCTACCAAGGCCCTCCTGAACCGCACTGACTGCATCTCTACTGAAAACAAAAAAATAACATTTTAGAGCCTGTCACGTTTGTGACACGTTTTGTCCGCTTTCTATGTCTCCTCAACTTCTCATCCAATACTCATTCAAAGTCAGTTGGAACTTATAATGTATACCCTGGTCTGTTGTGCGTTATGTTTAGGAAAGAGATAAAAAAGACTTAAGATAACAACCCTGTATCAGATCAACAAACTCTATTTTAGCACACTGTTTAGGACAACAGACAAAATATGTGCTCTACTGTTTTTTTCTGAAGAATAAGGTCTTGTTTCAGGAAAGGCTACTCAACATTAACCTGTGATCAGGCATCCTTTTCTTGGGGATAGTATAAAAGTCAGCAAAGGACCGCCCGATCACAGGTTACCCCAACATTGCATAGTTCATTCAGGACAGAGGGGCCCAAAAAACATAACCTACCTTTCAGTGGAAAGTCCCTTTATGGGAAAAATAAGGAATTGCTTCTCCCCATTGACATACCAGGCAATGGACCATTAGGTCAACATACCTGTCTTAACTCACCTATTTAAAGCTAAGATTGCACATTCTTTAGCAAGCAGAGTCTTGATCAAATGTTCCCCACAACCTAGAAAAACAAATAGCAAATTCAACCTTGTTACTAGGATATCGCTCTGTAGAGAAGAGTAGGAGAGAGCCCTAGGAGCGACAAAAGAAGTAACATACAAAATCCAACAAACCTGATGTACAACATGCAACTCCTACTTCATTAACATCATGGCTAGTTGCCCAGCATCCACTGCCAAAAATGGCTGCCTGAGTGAAGTTAATGAAAAAGAGTAAAAAAAAAGTCTGATTTGGTAGTCTGGGACAAGTACATCTTCTTTCTGAGCAAGTAACTTTTGAAGTTCACTTGCCCAATGGACAAGGGTCCAGGTAAGTAGTGGCCCCAGGAAAACAAAATGTGAGAGCTGCTTGCCCAAACGACAAGCTGGAATTTTAAGGGTTTTTTTGAGCCCTGAAAATGGGTCAAAATCTATACCAACAAAATTAACATCTTCAGACATGAACTTTTGAACCCCCTGAAGAAGACCTAAAGTAAAAAAAAAAATGCCAGACTAAGAAATGTCATTTGGCACTGACATTTGCCATTTGCAAAGATCACTGCCACTATAAAATGGTTTAGAAACCTGGTACTGGGATCCAAGATGAAGAATGAAAAAACGGGACATGACCTTCTATAATTTTGGGACAACATTACAGGCTTCCTTTCTGACAATGACTGTATACAGGTACAATTGGGACAATTTTTTGTACAAAGAGCTCTCCAAGAAAGACTGACCTGTCCAATGCGACCTGGCACCTTGTACACTACCCCACCACTTGATGCTCCAGCGCAGAGTTGGCCGTTCCGGTCCATGCACACAGCACCAACAGTATCCATACTATTAGATTCCTAGAGGTAAACAAACACAGTTTCTTTGAAAGAAAAACACTCTGAACCATTCTTTTAATTTGTAACATGTACATGTTTTGCACATTTGTACTCACATATGAAAAGTTGCACAAGTTTTCTAGCTGACAAGGTTTATGGCACACATCAGTATTTTGTGTAGACTGTATCCTTGCTTTGCACTTGCACCATGTTTGCAAACTCCTGTCTTACAAAAGTATTGTTAATTCAAATTAATCCACCATAACTTTCATTTTGTTATAAATTAATAAAAAATCACTGCAATATGTAAACCGTGAGATTCACCTGTGATTAAATCTTTATCTTGGCACTCACTAAATCCATGTTCCAGAGCCCAATTAAATGCCCCTTCTCCAGCCAGAAAGCTTAAACATGATGATAGTAATAACTGTCATGAATAATGTTAGGGATTACAATGTTGACAGAGATATTCTACGGGAAGTACACCATGCATGTACTCCTTTCCTTTTTTCGAGGGGTGCAAAAACGCCAAGGGAAATATTCCACTGGAAGGGGTAAAATTACCAGCCATCTAAGTATTAAAAAGAAAAACAAAAATAATTTTTTTTAAATTTTCAACACATACATTGGAGGAATGAGACCATTCGAAGAAGGGCCTTTTAACTCTTCCGTCAACAGCCTACCAGCCACTTGTATGGGATTCTTTATTCCTACAATAGAAATTTTCAAAAAACTTTTTTCACATGTATATCAGAATATACTTTCTGTAAATCAGAAAAAATCTATTTAAAGTGATTTCATCAGTATGTAACTAAGATGTTATTGTGAGTGTTGAATTCTTTGGGAAGCTAAGGTTAAATCCCTTCAGAAACTTAACTTTTAACAAGATAAAACAGATCTAAATGTTGTGTGGCATACAAATGCATCAAGGGTGAAGTCCCCTTATATACTGAAGACTCCTTAAGACTCCACAGTCAGTAACATAGTCGTGTAACTACATAGATATAGTAATATAAATTTTATTTGCCCAAAATTTAATCGGGTGGCCGAAGGCAGTAGGACGTTCACAGTTTCTACTTGCCAAATCTGGAACAGCTAAAGTCTACAACTTAGAAATGCAGTATCACTAGATCCTTTAAGAATAATTATCAAATTAATATCTTATTTAAAGAGCAGCAGGAATTACACCATTTCATAGTTTAATCGTATTCTTGTATATATTTCACTTGCCATGTCATTAGCTCTTATACTCATTCATATTGATGTAGAACTTCTATATTTCCTTAGTTTTATTTATTTTGTACTTAGACTTTGTAAATTCAGAATCTTATGTTTGTTGTAATTTTAATTTAGATATAGGGCCACAAGTTTACTAGTTTCTGTGACTATTCCGTGCTACCCTCTTTAAATAAATTGTATTTATTTATTTTTAATTTATGTTTTAACAATATAAATTCCCAATAGAAATAACCTTTTAAAGCACCAACAGCTCCAAATGCTGAGGAATCACCATCCATAATACATGCATCACACTCCACTGTACCTGATCTGGTCAAATTGGAACCTGTTCCTGCATTCGTACAAGGGAAGTCCTAAAGAATAACAATACACAAGCTCGTATGTACTTGTTGTGGTTCAATTTTATCCTTGGTTCAATTTTATTTTCTTTTGTTTCAAACTCATTATCATGTCATTATCATACATTACCATACCCAAAAGTAATTTAAGGAAACAAAAATTTAAGTCAAGGATAACACTGAACTACAACATACCCATGTGACCATGCTCCTTACAAATCACTGAGTTAATTCATAGGTTATATTCTTTCATCCCCAAAGGTTCAAAATCAAACTTCAATAACATTACCAAACCTTTTTTTTGGTATTTTTTTTTAAATTAAAAAAGAGCATCATGTGAACGTACTGCCAAAGAAGTTTATTTTGAATGGTCACACCCCAAGATTTCAGGCAAGGTACTAACTCAAAGTTTACCATATACCATATCAGGTTAGTAAGAAAATAAAGTTCTGCTTTATGAACCCACCCTACCCCACTCCACATATATTCATGAATAAATTAAAAATAAAAATTATTTTATACCTCTAAAGTGGATATTGCGATTACAACAGCTTCTTTTGCTGATAAGCCTCTTTTTATTGCCTTAATAGCCTAGGATGGAAAAGAAATAGATGGTTAAAAATTACTTAAAGAGATTAGCAGGCACAAATACCTTACCAGTAAATAGAAATATTAATATAGGTCATTGGCAGCAACAGAACAATATCCATGGGAATTTGGTCTTGCTTAGTTGTTTAACTTTAAGTGCATTTTTTCAGGTTTTTATGCAAGACATGCGTATTTTTTTATAAGAATGTTATATAACTATGCAATATGAAAATAACTAAAAATTAAGGCATTTTAACCCTGATGGTGGCCAGAGAAAAACTCTAAAAAAATTCAAATTCTTTTCGTAAAAAATCCCAGGAATAAAGTACAATTAAGGGATTTAATGGAAAAACCATAGAATTTTTTCCACAGATAATTAAGGGTTAGAGTGACAATTAATTAATAATCCTGCCATGATGTGGTCTAGGATCAACATCTACATGCACTTGCATTTCTCTATTATTTCTCCATTATTACAGTGCCACCAGGAAAACCATGAACACTTGAATATCTAAGGAATGTTCATTGTGTTATGACCAATCACAGCAAAGATCTAGCCAAAAAAGCACAAACCAATTATTAGCATTCTTGCTTGCGGTTCAGTTTTGTCATGCCTGATTGGCTTTTTTTGCAACACAATAACATTCCAGAAATATTACTGGTGTTCACAGTTTTCCCGGTTTGACTGTAATAATGTCAAGTTATGAATAAATCAGTGTGTGTGATGGGTCAGCAAGTGAGGTGCCTGAATTTATTATACCTTTGTACAAGCAGATTTGCAGGCTTCTTTATATTCAGCCTCATGCGCAGCGGAATGAAATCCAGCACCTTTTAAGAGAAATATCAAGGGAAAACTTGTTTCTTGCTAAGTGATCAAGAGAATATGGACCTAATAGGATTAGGCTGTGTACAGATGCCCCCTCCTCCCCTCCCTTAAGTAAAAAATCGGGTCTGTTCATAGACTAAATGGGTGTGAGTGGGAAAAAGATATAACCCCATGCCTAACATCATTTTATTGACAACGTCTTATAAATAAATATCAATTTAATAAGTGCTTAAGTCAAACAATGAACTCGGATTAATCGTGCGAATAAGATTGTGTTGTTTGACCGCAGAAAGCTGCAGAAAGTTCTGTTGTGACTTGACGGAGACTTTACCTACGTGAACTGCAACAAATCCCAAGCCTGAATGACTTGCTAAGACTACAGATTGGCCTTGATCCTCCTCAGAAGGGTGCATATAGAGTTTAACCCGTTAAAAAGGAACGTGAAAAAGAAATCAACGTGACGATGCTCTGGACGCCATGATAGTTTTGAGCGAATTACACAGAAGAGAAATCGCTTAATAGAGTATCCGCTGACCAGATCGCGGGCTCTTTCACGTGGCGAAAAGGTGAGCTGAGTGTCATTAGCTGAGTGCAGGAAGTTAGCAGTACCACGGAGGGGAATTCGAGGTACATTAGCCAAGTGTTCTGCTAATTTTTTTCTCTATCTTCGAGATAAATTTAAACTTAAAGTTTATCACTTTCCCAGGGCCAAACTACCGGTATAAAATGCAGACTACGTACCTGAGCTATTTGTGTCACTTGCACGTGCATACAGAAGAAGCAAATTATGGTATTAATAGCGGTAAGAAATTTACTAACGTAGAGTTAAAATACAATTTTTTTTCGCATAAAGAGATACAACAGCTGATAGAGGGAAAAGATTGAGAAAATTTATGGAAAGTACTTTGAAAATAATTTATTCAGGAGCGGTGTGAATGTGGAGTTGCCAGCATTCCTTGTCATGTAAGACTCATGTCACGGGATCAAGGAAAACCTGTAGTATTTTCGGGATCCGAGATTTCCCTTTATTTGAAACTCGGGATTCGGGATTTTACAGCACAAGTAGGGTGAGTTTTGGGATTGAAGGTATGAGCGGGAGGTGAGATGCCAAAAATAGCCATCGGGATTACGTGATTGAATGAAACTTTGGATCGGGATTACGGGATTGAAGAGCCCTATTGGGGACCCTTGGAATCCGGATTCAGAATCCGGAAAATTTTTGTTTTTGAAATCCAGAACGTGGGAAATGTTTCTTGTGGAGTCCAGAATCCTCGGCTTTGGAATCTGGATCCCACTAACAATTGTAATCCAGATTCCAGGTTCCACTGACAAAGAATCCAGAATCCAGTACCTGGAATCCAGAATACAAGGCGTATAATCCGGAATCCAGGAATGTCTTGGATTCCCATATGTGGGATTAAATTTTTTTTTTCTCCAATTTGAAGTCAAGCGATCAGGACTCGAAGGAAAACACAACTAACCAGTTTCCCGCGGAACCTTACATTACCCTATGAATATAACAAAACAGTTTTTTAAAATTTAAGGGGAAAGCTATTTTTAATTCTCACAATTTTACCTAATTTAAGCCTAAAAACAAATAGTTACAGATTGTAACCAATTAATTTTAGATTCTGAGATTCAAATTATTATCACTGCATTTAACTTCCAAGAAAGGTTATATGCTGGCTGGGAAGAGTTATTTTTACTCAAGCTTTAGCCAAGTATCCACCAAACCACCACTGGGTTGTTGAATCATCACTTGCGGTGCACCGAAAGTTGCTATTGGGACTGCCATAGAAGCCAAAGTTGTCTTCACTTGGAATGCCTCCAATATTAGGCTTGAAACCACAGCCTGTGGACTCGCTGTTGATATGCAAAATGTAGGAGTTCAACATTTGCCAAAACTGTGCTGTTGTACCACTTCCAGCTGCATGCCCACGGATATTTACATATTCCACAGGTTGACATTTTCCATCTCCAAGGAATGTCATGATGTCGAAGTCGCTGAACTTTCCCCTCATGTAATCTCTGTAATCAATGACTTGCTTGCTGTTGAAGCTGCAGGTTGCACGCCAGTGAGAGGAGCGGCTACGGATGTTCTTCATTCGTTCCAGTGTTTGGCGGTAGGAGTACCAGTTTGGTGTGTTATGGTTGATAGGTGCGTCGTCTAAAAATGACTTCCTTTGAAACTGGGGCAAATTCTTATTGGCTCTGTTAAAGGACATGACTAGCGTCCAGGCTGAACCTGGCTCAGATGAGAGGTCACAGTAAGCCACATATCGTCTGTCTTTGTTGTCAAAAAGCCAGTAGAAGTCGCTTTCCAACACCCCATGTTCCAGGTAGTCAAGACACGATCTAGCTATAAGGCCGTTCATTTCCAAATGCTTTGCTTCGGGAGACTGTAACAAACGAAGAGTTAGAAAAATTGTTAGTCTATTACTGTACCCCCCAAAATTGATGCATTACTTATGTTCCTTCCTTAAAAGTGTCCATTAGCCCTCTTTGCCTCGATTGTACTTTCAGAATTTAAAAGACGTTTTACCACGAAACGAGGCATTGATGGTCAGTTTTCATAAAAGGAAAAGAATAGCAAAATTTGACGCCATTTTGAAGGTAGGTGCATGTATAAAGATGAAAAGTTGTAAGGAGCTCGATGTTGATAGTAAGCATTTGGGATGAAAATACGTGAAGAGCTATACCTTACCATTTTTTGTTGGTTTGTCGTGGTCAGAAACAACAGAAAAATCAAACCGACTTTCATTTTGGATATTCCAGGAGAGGCGCTATCACACCTTAAAAAAGTGTCCTTTTTGGCGGATCTGCAACGCAAGGACATAATCAAATATGGTCTTACTTAGATATCGTACAATCTATTGATACTACTGTTGCTATTCATTTCCATGTATTTCTATTCACCACTATTCATCATCCTTAACTGCCTGCTGAAACAATGAAGAGGCAGTGTCATCATTACTCCTCGACTCGTGTTTGTCAATGCCGAAATCCCCTGAGTGTGGCATAGTTTAGCATAGTCACTAAAGTTAACACGTAGAATCTCAGTGGGCCGGTTATTTGAACGAAGTCTAACTTAAGCCGCGGTTTAACAAATCTTTGAACCTCCAGATCTTCTTCTTAGTGCGTTATTTTAAGACTGGGGAAATGCTTTTCTAGTCTACTCTATATGCTTTCAAAAAACAGTTCACAATTAACGGTGTTTAGATAAAACCGTTGGGCAAATTGAACATGGCTTAGAACGCGGTTTTGTTAAGTACTGGCTAAACCACGTTTAAATAACTGGCCAGTGTGTTTGACTGAGGACGGATCGGAAGGAAGTAGACCAAATGCCTGACGTTTGAGCCAATGAAATGAAACTAGAGACGATGTGGTGGTCTGATAGTGAATGTTAAAGTGGCTCTTCCCGCATGTTAATGTGCATTCAACGCATTGCGCCATCGGGATGCGCATTGAATATTTTCAGTTGGCCTTTTCAACATTGGTCCTTAACTAATCTCTTTTCCTTTTGCACAAACGTAAAATTGCTGTTGCTACAGGAACAAATTCACCAAAGGCAATCCGTACGCATTGGACTTCTGGAATAAAAGAATTGTGTAAAAATGTGTGATTATTAACTATATTTTTTACCTTAGAAGTGGTCTTCCCTGCACAGAGATTTGGGAAGAGTATTGTACTGATCATAAAGACAAGCTGCAGACCTTATCTAAACAACTGCGAAAGCTTTTTTTGCCAGTGAAAATTGGTAGACATCTGTTTCAGCAAACGCGTTTATCTAAAACACGCTGTCAGTAAATATGTCAGGTAAATGTTCTTGTTCGGCCGTCTCGTGATACAGGTTCTGTACACGGAATCGCAAATACTTCATTTTGTCCTTTGTTTTATTCCAACAAATAGCGCCTTTGATGCATCTCTCAACCACGACTTGATGTCAATGCCTGAGAAAGGGAGGGGGGGTGGGGTCCCTCCCTAAACTGTCACTGTGTTTATGGATCGGACCGAAATCGAGGCGCGCGCCGAAGAAATAGTTGTTTTCGACAGGTGCCCCTTTTACGAGACTTGCATGTCAGAGGTAATTTTTACTAAAAAGGTCTCTCTTATCATATCATATCTCTTATCATATTCAAACTATAAATCATTACGTTACGCAGCAATAATAGAAAGACACTAAACTTAGGTCCTCAAATTTTGAGTTGAGGGTTACTGAGGTATGACTTAAACTACATGTACGTGACTTGTTTATCTTCACAACATCCTTCCAATATTAATTAGCGCCATCTTGTTCTGGAGAAGAACATGCACTAATCGACTGGGAAAAAGGCAACTGCCTGGAAATATATGTTTATTGGTATAGTCAGGGGCGTATTGCGCAGACTTTCGCGATCTTGTCTAACAACAGACAAAATCATATGACTTCAAATGGCTTAGAAGTTATGCCAGTGGGCACGTACGTAAATTGATACCTTCCCGCCACCTAATTATAACGGATAAACATAAATTTGACAGAATCAATTAGCAAGCGCTCATAAATCCTCAAACCTCGACTCTGTTAACTTGGACAAGATGAAGTTCGCCATTATAATTCTGTTTTCCTTTTATACTGGTGTCCTTTCCCAGGGAAAGGTAGGCTTGTTTCACTTGTTTATATTTTCACATTTAAGTAATTGCGCTTCCTTGATTCCATGAGCCTCTTTCAACAACAAAGTTAAAAAGTAAAACAAAGGCAAGCTTCTGTTTTATTTCCTATAGGGGTCAGGTGAAAATGTCGTAAGTTTACTCGTTCAAGTAAAATCTAAAGCTGGGCATGTACAGATTGTATCTATCAATGATAGTCTAGTAAAAATGTGCATTGTCATTACCAAATTGTCCACTTCACATGGAAACAGCCATTGATATTGAGGTTATCAAATTTTAACATAAATACATATAAATAAGCTACCTATCCTTTTCAAGTTTCAGTTACATCTAGTTCAGTGCTACTGAAAAGGCAGAATCTTCTTTCAATAACGTTTTGACGGGCGTTTTGAGTAGTTTTGACTTGAACTAACTTAACTTTCATTCTTCTTGTCACGTGACATCAAATTAGTGACCGTGAAAGTTGTCACGCAGGTAATATTGAAGTAAATTTTCCTATTTACTTTTCCACTTCAGTGATCGCTCTCTTGACATATTAATCCTCGGGTGATCAGTGGCACGTTGAGTGTCAGTTAGACTTCTTTGAAGATTTTAAGCAAAGCAAACCTTTTCTTATCTTAGACTTGACTTTCTTTGTTCGACTATTCCGCGAAGTAAAGCGGCCCTGTCGGTCGTAGCTGTTCCTATCTTCGATAGATGTCCTACCCGGCAGAATACTCTGTAACAAACACAGTTGAGTCCCACTAGCCCGAAGACTCAAAGAGAAAAGAACACTACAGTTAGAGAAAGTTTGGGTTTATATCGGTCGAAAATTCACTGAAAATGGAGCCAAAAGTAGCTAAAGTTAGTGGTGGTTGAGTGTCGTCTCCAGTTTGCATGGCTTTTTTGTATAGGAAAAGTTAAGAAAAACAAGTTTTTATTGTTACGTTAGTTATACGATAGTTTTACAGTCAAAAGGATAAACAAAAAACGTTTTATAAATTCATATTTATGACGGAAGTCGGGCTTTCAGTTTAATGATTTAATTTAGGTGTGGAGCTTGTATGAAAGGGTATATGAAAGGGGTGAAGATGCTCGTCGTCTCGCTTAGGGTGTAAATTTCGGATTTTGGTCTCAGTTAGGGTGTTCTGGGCAAAACGCCATCATATTTAGCCTTAAAGGTCTCGTTTAGGGTCGCACGCGAAAAATATAAATAATTATATATTGTCTGTGTTTCAACATCGTCTCTTTTAGGGGTCAAAAAAAGCTTGGGCCACGCCCCACCCCTTTATTTCATATGCGGATTCT